CCATCCATCCATCCATCCATCCATCCATCCATCCATCCATCCATCCACCCACCCAGCCAGCCAGCCATCCATCCATCCATCCATCCATCCATCCATCCATCCATCCGTCAAGAACACCTATATATATGACTTATGTAATATGACAGTGTCCCAGGTTCCTAACCTAAAGGTCTTCCCTCCCCCCATGAAGGCGAGGCCGCGGCGGCGCCCGATAGGCCCACGCTGCCGCTCTCGGCGATGGTCACGGTGGCGGCCTCGGGAGACCGGGACACCCGGGACACCGGCGGGGTGGCGAGCGAAAAACGGAAGAAGAGATCCGAAGGACATAGTGTTTTTTGTTTGGTTTGTTCAATAATTTATTTGTTTATATCTGTTTAGGTTGTTTTTATGTGGTTGTTGGTTGAATGATATATGATACAAAAATAAATATGTTTGTTGTTTTTTTATCTGTTTTATATTTATCTGTTTTATATCTATATGTCTATTTTGTTTTTGTTTGTGGATTCAAAAATAGGAGGCACCCCCGTCAGGCTGCTGGGCTAGACCATACGGCTGAGTGAAGTTTAAAAGAAGGGAGAGCACCCAAACAGCTTGGATGCAAAGTGCAACCAAAAAAAGGGACCCCCTTATTCCCCAATGGCAGGGTTTGGCTCACTGATCTATTTTCCTTCTTCTAAGAGGGCATCTAATCAAAAGGGAGTCGGGACATGAGCTCGTCAGACGGCCAGATCTCAGCTGAGATGGTCTCTCGTTTCAGGTGGGTACGAAACAAAAACAGCGGAAGAAGGCACAAGAAGGCACAAGAAGGCACTCTGCTAAAAATGGCCAGATCCAGCTTGCAGCTTCGCTGATGAAGAACATGAATCGGATGTGGATGTCCATCGGAGAATCTGCAGTTTTGGCTCCACTGAAGCGGATGTCTTTAGGATCACATGGAGGCAACGATGGATCTCCATGGTCAACCAGGAGTGATTTGGAGGGAAAAAGGGAGAAAGGGAGAAAGGGAGAACTGCGAACCAGTGGAGAACTCGAAACATATTGAACAATTCGATGTCGGTGGATCTGATCTTGGTGGATGAGTAGCAAAGACTTCCTCCACTGAACCAGGAGAAGCCTTTCTAACTTAAAAACAAACAAAAACACATGACATGTCCCAAATACCATGGCTTCGGCATGCTTCGGCTCCAAGAGCCCCCGTAAAAGCCGGGCAACCGATACACCGAAGCGAAAACCCATTGGTTTCTTCATCCTTCACAAGGCGAATCGTTGGGGTTCGTCCGAATCGTTGCTCTCCAAAAACGGTGGGCCTGGGCCACACCGGGCACGTGTTCAGGTCAAACGGATGTGTCACTTGTCAATGCCTCGAGTACTGATGAGTAGTATACATCGATACCGAAAAAGCTGAATACAACGACTGAAGGAATCCTGCACAATCTGAAAACATCATGGGATAATTCAGACTTCCTCATTCCTGATAAAGTTGGATAAAGCAGTTGATGGAAAAAATCCACCAAATACCCACTGAAAGCACTGCAAACAGTCGGATTGCAAACAATCATCCCTATCCCTGCTTGCTGCTTGTGTTTTCAGGTCCATTGCAGGTGCTCTGTCAACTCCACCTATTGAAAAAAGGAAATGTTTGGCGCTCGAGCAAGCAAATCACGGTAGCGAGGAGAAGACACCACAATGACAATGACAAGGTTTGGAAGCTTCAAAAACGGATTGCCACCACTGCCCGACATGCGGAAATCCCGCCACCTGAGCTGCTCTCTCTCTCCTCATCCTGCCACCTATGGTCTGCGAGAAACTTTCAATCCTGCCCACACTGAGGGGCCGACGCAAATGACGCCCAAGAAGAGGCAACACCACTCAGGCTTGGAGATCCCTTGCTTCTCCCGCAAGACAACAGACTGCCTGAGACACTGCTGAGCTGGATGCTTTTGGGCGACAGCATCTTGCCACAGACGACAGCTGGGCATATTCAAGGGGCCCTCAAAAGGTACTAGCACCATCGAAAGACCCTGATCAAGGTTGAACGGGCGCAAATCTTTGTGTGTGTGTTTTATCATCAGAATCAACAATATAGAACTGGAGTCGCGTTGATTGATTAAGAAAAAGAAAGGCCAGCTCTACGATCCTGTGGAAGTCAAACTTCTCATCCGGATAAAGGTCACTACAGCTCCAGTGCACACTTGGACACAGCGTTGGGCCATCTTGTGGCCAAAAGGGTGTTTGGATAAAAGATTATCAAAGCTCAGCGCGAACACAATACCTTTAACAGCATTGCTTTTTTCAACTGTAGATGGCCCGCACTGTTTGGCTCCTCTCGGACATTGCTCCCTCTGCATCCTTTCAGCAACTGAAACACTGCTTAACATTGGCGCAACATTGGCAACTCTTAGATCCGGAGATCACAGGATATGTCCAGACAGGTCCAAATCCCTTTGCATCACTCTGAACCCGACCTGGTCACTACCTGAGGTGTCCCAAGCTTCTGGTCACCGCCATGTCTTCCGGCGAAGAAGTTGGGGATGGGTGACAGGAAATTCGCCCAGTCAAACGTGGCAATCCCCCAAAACCTGGTGCTCATGTCTTTTCTGCAAACAGCTGTTCGGTAGCTAGCGATCACGTACCTCCGAAAAAATGGGTACCAGATGGTAGAAGTACCTACCTAGAGTGTGAGTGACCTTTGTTTTGTTGATCCTCCAAAATAGAGGTCACTCAGGCTCCAGGTATGGGGTCATGTTCCGGTACGACCGGTCTGTTGGGTCCTGGTCGACCCCCGGTTCTCTCTTTTCGTCCGAAGTCCAGCCGGTCGGTTTGCTGTCCTGTACACGAAGACATCACAAACGCCCTATAACTATCACTAAGGCAGGCTCACATCTTTTTTGAGGCATTTGTCCGCGCTTCCTTTCTGCAAAGCTTTTGGCACCTCTTTCTTCAAACTGGCCACGAAGAAGGATTTCAGCTCACTCTCATTCAAGGCGTGCAAGGTGGCACTCAGCATTTGATCCTCGAAGTTCTGCGCCAGATCCTTGGATTTCGGATTCGGGCTATAGAAGCCTTCCACATCGACAAAGGGACCAAAGGTGCGATCCTGTTCGATGGCCACATCACAGGCCTCGACCCGATCTATACCGCGGTCTGGAGTGAAAAGCTCCTGGTTCATCTTCTTCAGGGTCTCCTGAAGAACAGATGTCCAATAGAAACAAAAAAGAAACATGCTAACCCTGTTCAAAATTCGAACACGTCTCCAAGGGTTCTCTAAGGGACAAAAGAGCTTCGGGGGGGATCCATGAGTGTCTATCGTTCTTCAACACCGGTGGTGAAGAACCTCTTCACCGCCCCACCTCACAAATCCCTTCCAAAAAACATATCGGCGCTCTCCGGGAGTCTCCTGCATCTGTGTCAAGATCGCTGCATACTTCGGATCCTTTGCCAAGTCCTTATGTTCCGTCGGATCATCGCGGACGTTCATCAAGCAGCCCGCCTCGCAATCGAAGCTCCAGGTTTGCTGAGCCACCTCCTGACCGGTGCCCGACCATGGAGTGAATTGGCCGAAGATCGAATCCGGGGCCGGAGGCTGCGGCCCCTGGAGCTTGGCCCGAGACTTCACGGTGGAGCAATTGGGATACAGGGGCCCCAGCCAGGCAGTGAGTGGCTGTTTCCCTGTGACCAACTTGTAGGGCCACATGAAAAGTGCCTGGCTACTCAAGTGCATGGCATCCTTTCGTCCGTTCTGGTCATTGATGATGTTCTGCCACTGTGGTACACTGTCCACTGGATGAAGCAATGGAAGTCCCTTCTCCTTCAGCCACACATTGGCTGCCTCAGCCTTCAAATCTCTCATATCCACGCCAGCCAGTTCCGTTAGGGTGCCATACCAATCGGCCACATTGATGATGCCCTCGAACTTCTGCCCACGGCGATGAACCGGTACAAAGCCTCCGGAGACGAAAGCATTGGTGCGAATGCCTCCTTCCCAATCATTCGTCTTACTGCCCCGCAAGGGATAATTGGAGGCAGAACCAGGTTCATAGATTGGTCCACCATTGTCTGAAGTGAAGATGATCAAGGTGTTGTCATACATGTTCTTCTGCTTCAAGGCCTCCACGGCTGCTCCAACGGCTGCATCCATGTAGAGAACCATGGCCGAATACAAACGCCGATTCTGATCATCAAAGGCCTTTCCACCAGCGGCCTTCACCACTTCATCGATCTTGGACAGCCAAGCTTTGGGAATTTGCAAGGGAGTATGGACCAAGTGGAAAGAGTAGAACAGGAACAAGGGGCTGGTCACATTGTGGTTCTGAATGATCTCCAGAACCCTCTCTTTAAACAGATGTTCTTCATAACAACCAGGATCTGACTCTTCATCCATCTCACAAGCTGCTGAAAGCGAGATGGCATCCCGCACAGGCCCACAGTAAGTGGCGTTGTGCATCGAAAGATCTTTCATGTGGTTCAAGCAAGCATCCACCTCTCCCGTTCCAAGTTTACTTTTGTGCCAGTAGTCATTGGCATGCTGGTAGTAGCCATACCAAGTCTCATAGCCCCTTCCCCTGGGCGAATGTTCAGGGGTGGCCATCCCAGCATCCCTATGTGTTCGATAGCCAGCATCCCGCAGCTTCTCAGCAATGCCTGTCATGTTGCGCGGAATGCCGGCATAGCCACTCACAGGGTCCTCATAATTCTGAGAGGTGACTGGTGAATTGACGGAATTCACATGCACCGCCAAGCGTCCTGACTGGATGGAAGAGCGAGAAGGAGAGCAAATCTTGTAGGCATAGTGACGGTCCAAGAGTACCCCCGCATCAATCAACGCATCGATGTGGGGAGTGTGAACCTCTGCCTTTCCTTGCAGCTCTTCGGGCGAAGCTCTGCCAGAAACGGCTGCAACGCCTTCCCGACGATGCACACCCAGGTTGCCCCAGCCATAATCGTCAGCTAAAATGAACAACACATGCGGTTTCTCGGCTTTCGCTGCAACTCCCAAGGGGACCAGGGCAAAGGTGGCAAAAGCCAACAGCGCCATGAATGAACTGGGTACAGTAACTAGAGCAAAACAAGATTTAAAAAAAAAAAAACACAACAAGGTAAATGCGCTATGTGATTCTATAGTCACCACCTACTTCTCATGTGTCCAAGTTGCTAGTGTCGATATGTGTGTCTCTCTCTCTCTATTCTGAACGTCCAGCTTGTTTACGTCACCCGGCGGAAACCTGGGGGCGCCATCCAAAACCGTTGTTGTTCACCTTCACCGTTGTTGTTCACCACGGGGTTGATGGACCAATTATTTGGATCTTAAGATATCTTTGTCATCGCTTCAACTTGCGATCCCATGTGCAAACCACGGATAGACATCAAGTTTGATCTTTGGAGAAGGTACAACCTCGAGAACTGCTTGGACAAAATGAACGGAACACACAAAATGCACCATGTTAAGTCTTAATTCGCTGCGCTGGCTCCTCACACAAAGTCCAAAAACACCACTAGGTCAGATTCCAGTTGGAACACGACTGAAGTCTAGAGCCTTACTCTGCAGGGTCGAGTCGCCAGCAAAATCTGGGAACGTTCCCTCCCCTCCTGCCCTAAACCCACTCCAATCATGATCCGACACAGTCATCCCCGATTCGACGATCGTCCAGCACTGAGCTTGGGCACATGATGCTGGTCGTAATAGGCGAGCAGGATCGGATGATGAGATGCAAGGGCAGCGGAATCAACGACCTCGAAAACATCACTCGGCGCGTTCCGAAGTGATGGTGAATGGTTCATGTTGATGGATGTAACATGAGTTAACCTCCTTTCAAGGCCACAAGCATCCACAAGCCACCGCTGCAAAACGATCTCCGGTTGCTGCTCAAGTCTGCTAAGGCTAAGATCTCATGAACCATGCCGAAAACCAGCATGAGCTCACACCACAGTCTTCATTTAGAAAGCCCCTTTTGCGGAGAATCCCCACCAGTCGTCTACCTAGCGCTTCCTGTCGGGGTGCCCTGGACAGGGAGACCTGTAAGTCGTCGTGTGGAGATATCCAGCGTGACCCCGAACGCCCGGAAGCAGCTGGTACCTTGGTCCACACCGCACTCTTCACACCACAGTCTTCATTTAGAAAGCCCTGGTTCGGAGAATCCACACTAAGTCAGTCTACCTTCAACCACACCGCACTCTTCAAACGACCTGTCCTCTGCCGGAGGCTGGGCGCCCCAGCATGGACAGGAGATTAAAGCCTCGGTCGGAAGGGTCGAAGATCGGGCACCGAGTCATGCTGAGTGACATCGAAACCGGGCCACTGATGAGGATATATGTACAGAAAAAGACCTGCCAGGGCATCTGGGGCGTAGGTTTTTGATGTGGAATTTGAGGCGTTTCTCTTTTTCGCTTGAAAACTAAGGCGTCCATGTTCCTGCATTACTCGAGAATGTCCCTTCAATGATCGAATCATCATGTTCCCTGCAGTCTCATCTGACTTTCAGGCCAACTTGCCCAACAAAATCAAGTTCACTGAATTCCCCCAAAACATCGCAAGGAATCAGAAGGCACTCAATTCGACTGTTGTTTTTTTTGAGATGATGTTTGCCACAAGCTTGACCCATCATTTACATATATAATCCATTTATGTCCATTGGCATCAATGATCAGCGCGACTTGGGAAGATCTGAAGTCCAGTTTTGAATTCACATTGACTTCAAAAAAATCGAAACCGACTCTCTCAAGTCTGAGCACATTCCATAACCCTAACCTTCCCGTCCATCCTTCCACCCTCAACCATCCACTTCCGAACCCATCGACCGAGACGCCGAGGCGTCGGTCACGGCCGATGCGTCTCGTCGCGTTCGCGCGCCGTCACGGCACCGTCACGTTGCCGAGACGCCGATGTTCACGGTGAAGGCCAAGCTGAGGACCAAGACGAGGCGAAAATCCTTCCACCTCAACCCGACCCGACGGCGATACGGCGATCGTCGACCCGTGGGCTGATCGACGGAGGGGGGGGGGAAACAGGTACCCGCTTGCACCCCGGTGCGAAAAAGGGGTGGCGATCAGAGCCACTGTGGGGGGTGGGCACGTGGCCAATCCGTGGCCAATCTGAATCAAGCAAAAGCTTCTACAGCATAGGCTGCATGGGTTGTTAGCAGCTGCTCGTCCATTGTGGTCATCAACCTATGAAGCAAATGGCAAACATTTCGTGAGGAAGCGGCGGAAACCATTGGGGAAGCCTCGTATCATAGTAACTCTCGCCAGTTAGGATTAAGACGATGCATCCAAAAAAAAGCAAACAGCGAGTGGGTCTGAAATTCTATACACCCAAAAGTACAGGTAATCTGTTCCCGTCAGGTGACACAAACGCATCTACTGATGGTCATCTGGTTGCTGTGGGACCCGTGGGACACGTAAAACGGTGTCTGTTGGTGAGTTGCTGCGTGTTTCTGTGTTGTTTTTGGACTTGGTTCTTATTGGAGGTGCTTCTGTATCTTGTTTTTGCTGCTTTTGTGCTTGCATTGGTGTTGTGCTAGGTGGTTGTTGCTGTTGCTGCTGTATTTGCTGCTCTTGTCAGTTGTGTAATTTGTGTTTGCTCATCTTGCTCTGCCCTATCGTTGTGTGCAATTTATGTGGCAACTTAGAATGCACACTTGTTTGACATTCGCAGTCGCAAGAATATTGTGTGCAAATAGTGATCAAGCCCTGCACTCAGGATATTTGTTATAGTTGCTTCCAATTCTCTGAAAAGCAACACAAACATGGAACATCCTGCTCCATGTGGGAGCCCAAAACCATTCTGAATGACTTGAGCGTTTCCCAGCATCCAGGTGTGGTCACTGGAAGAACTCCCAAATTCTTGCGTCCTATGCAAATAACGTCAAGGTCCTGTGCTGGAGCTAACCAACCAACCTCAACCCAGCAGCATCCAGCTTTGTTTGCCACAAAGAAACATCCTGGATCTTGAGCGATCTTTACATATCTTTCCCAATCCCATGTCATCAACGATGATACACTGCCTGAAACCCTCATAGAAGTGGAACGTAGGCCACTGGAAGACCTGTTTCCTCTACTAGGGGGTCCTGGTCAGCTTCCACGTTAGTTTTCAGTATATCAGCAAAAGCAAAACCTCCAAACTCCACGGGTGCTTGTTCTCCCCACGCATCTCCCCACCGGTCCCACCGGTGAGTCTTGTCTTCGACCACCGAAACCACCCACCCCAACAGAGGTAGGCCAGGAGCGGCGCCTATAGGGATCTATAGGGTATAACAGCCCAAGTGGCGCCAGTTTCTTGATCTCCACTGTGCGACCGAAGAGTTTGGAGCTCAAGACGAAGGTGAGCATCAGGCTAAAGCTCACCTCGCTTCGCAGCAGCGAGGCCAGATTCCAGGGACCGAAACGAGCTCGACGAGTTGGACCGTGGACGAAGGGGAACTCTGGAAGTTTGCAATGGCATCGGTCAGAAGGTTGCGAGGTGTGTTGGGTCGTTCGAACATGCAAAACAGGGTAGCCTGGTTGATTCTTGCGAAGGGTGGCAACAAATGCAAAAAAAAGCTCGTAGGATCTCGTAGGCAAAGTTAGGGGGACGAACTCCCATCAAGCCAAACTTGCTCTCTTCCACAGAACTCTGCCTTCGTTCTGCAAGTCTTGCTCCTCGCACTTCACCCCACACTTCACTCCAAAATCCCAGCGCTGGGTCGTTCCGGGAACGAGCATAACAAACCCGCTTTTCCATGCTTTTCCCAACACGGCCCCACCCAACGAGTCCGCTCTTCCATACCCCAGGCGCTCCATGGGACTGCCAGGACAGACTGCCGAGAAACGGCCAGGGGTGGTGCCAGGGGGGTCAATTGATCGGCATATATGGCATACTACATGGAGTGTCTGGGTATTCTAACTCCACCATGTTCCAAAAAACAACGGACCACCTCCCACCCCCGTCCTTCCCACCCTCCTCCCCCTCGTCCCGTCCTTCCCCCGAGGGCGTGGCCAGCTGCTGCGTGCCCACGACGAAGAAGGGCGCCGGCACGCCACGAAGGTCTTTACTCAACTGGCGAAGCGCGGTTCCGCGCGGTAGGCGGTGATGGAAGGGAGTGGAAAGGCTGCGGAAAGCGCGGTTCCAGAAGGACTAGCGGCCAGAAGCGAGACATGGAAGGCAGCCAGCATGGCAGCCTGGATTGCCATAAGCAGGTGATTTCTGCGATCAACTGCGATACCGGATTGTGCTGATTGGAATCGTACTTGATTGAGAGGCAATTTGTTTTGAGGTTTTGCTGACAGGCATTAGGATTTGTCCAAGAATGTTGAGAAAGGTCAGTCAACCCATGTAATTATCTACGGCAGGCAAGCTGGACCATCAAAACCTCGAACAAACCAGGAGTGTTATCGGATATCGTCTGACTTCTTGAGGATCTGGCTATGCGATGGATCGTCCAAGTACAGTAAAAACAAACATGAAATGAAGACCCAGTTTCACAAACTGGAATCCGACATTCCCCATCGCCCATTCCGCGCATGTTCATCTTTTTATCAAACACATCACCTCGGTCTCTTCACTCAGACTTACTCAAAAAAACTTCTGAAACCCATTTCCTCACGCTCCCTGCACGGTCCACGCTAGAGCCGCCCGTCGCGTAGACAAGCACCGGTGACCGTACTTGGGACGGAGCCTGAACTTGGGACAGAACGAACTTCATGAGGAATGCCATCCCCACCCTGGTGACGCGTGGTGAGCCAGTGCCGGCTTTTCTTCCCCAAGGCACTAAACAAAAGGAATGCAGTATGTCAAGCCATTCAAAAATGATATGATTGCTTCTCTGCAAGAACACCTTGTTGTTTTGGTACTTATTGCTTCTTGTTGTTGTTGTTGTTGCTGCTGCTGCTGCTGCTGCTAGTCATAAGTCACTTAGACAAAGGTGGCCTCAAACTGACATGGAGTATGCAAACAAGAGATTAGAAATGTCTCGTAAATTCCTTGCAACTGCAGTCTCTCAGTCAAGACCCTTGCTCAGAATCAATTTCAACTTCACCATTCAACCCGCGACACTGTTTCACATTGTTGTCTCCAAGTCTTCCTCGCCCAACTGTCTCACA